TTTTTTTTTTTTTTTTTTTTTTTGACAAAGTGTGTATAAATAAATACCAAAAGACTGTAATTTTATTTAAAAGTGATATTGAAATATTATTTTGAATGAATATATTTTAATTCAATTACTATAAGGTAAACTAAAATATTATTTTAAACAATTTGTTTTGTCTTATAATATTTCAAACTTGTCCAAATTATGCGTATCAATAAATGTCAAATTAAATTATATTTGGCATTAAAAGTAAGTTAAAATAATGGAAGTAAATATAAAATATTGCATATATGGAGTAAAATATAGAGCAACTGGTGGAAGACAAAACTCGTTTGTTTTACTCTTCTCTACTGAGTAAAGTCTACACTTACATTGGAGATGTCTTGACGAAGACCAAAGAAAATTCTCTGCTAATAGCATTTCAGATCTTGGAATAAAACATAACTTGGAGTGGCTAAAGTTAACACCATAAACCTATCTATCTTAGCACGAGCAAACCCTGTGATATATGATTAGTGGCCATTGATGACTAAGTTTGCAAACGACCTGAACTTGGGTTGAACAATGACCTTGTCGAGCTGTCTCAAGCTCGAGCATTACAAGCCAAAGTTTACAATAGGCTCCTTCGAAATCAACTTGAGAGTGCTGAAATGTTCGAGCTTGAGCATCTAAAATCAACTATTATTGTTGAAATTATTAGTTTTTTTTTCTTGAAAAATACTTTAAAACAAGAAACCAATTAATTGAGAGAAAAAAAAATTATAACATTAATTAATGTCAATGTCTATGTATAGTGGTTCTTAACTTTAAAGGTAATAAGATTGTGACACATATCATGTCGAAGTTTTATGTCATCTTTATGTTAGTAGCATGATACATTCTTATGTCGTCAAGCTGCTCATCAAACACTTGAACCAACAAAACAAGGGCTCACTTAAACCTACAAAACAAGCGCTCGAGCTCAACCAATTGTTGGTTTGAGATGTTCGAGTTTAGACCAAGCTTGCGTTGAGTTGAGTTTGACTAGAGCGGTAGAGAGCCGCTCGAATAGGCTACAACCCTAATTTAGGGCAATAGATTATCTTATAATAACTATTATTACTGAAAAAAAAAGATGCAAAAAGCATCTTTTTCATTGATTCATAGAACTCAATCCTTCAAATTATGGAAGACTTCAATTTCTAAATATGAGAAACTGCACACTGCCAGCAAAATAACAAAACCGAAAATAGACGTGGCCCGAATCATGGCCTAGTCCAAACAGTTGACCACTGTTCAAGTTCATGTTCTATTAAAACTGGACCGCCGGTTCCAATTCCGGTTCCGAAACCGAAGGTTTGGTGTCGAAATTATAATTTATAAATTAATTTTTTAATTTATTTCATTAATTTATTATTATTATTTTTTCAATTTCCAGTGGGCCGGTTCTGAATTGGGACTGCCGGTTCATTGAACTGGCCCTTAGTCCTTCTCGGGCCGGTTCCAGTTCACTAAAAATGACGAACCTGAACCGGCCCTGGTTTTGGCCCACGTCTAACTGAAAGTAACTAATAAAAACTTCACTAAATGCAATAAATACATTAGCAGATATAAAAGAAGAGGTACTACTACAATGCAGCTCAAAGTTATCTTTAGCCCAGTCAATTTTGCAAATGATTTATGAAGATTACTAACCTGTTTGTGGTTAACCGTAAACACACTAATAAGTTAACAAAGTAAAAAGATCACAAAGATCAGAAGGACCAAAGATTACTCGGACTAAAGTAATCAACAAATAAGCACAATAAGAACAATTAATCAAAACTTTGGCTGTTGAATGCCGATGAATACATAGAAACACAACCACAACTTTTCATGCTGTAAGAGTTCAACATCCCAGCCATTACATAGACAACTGACGAACACTTCAAAATTGCTTACATCAAACCGAAAAATTCAACATGAGGGACTCAGCCATGGGCCTCATGTAACATATTGGGCACAAGGTATACATATATACTCCCAAAATGGCATAAAGTATAACACATACCACAAATTTCGTAACCAGTTCAACTAATTACAAGGTAGATCAAAGCATGGACCGTTTTATAGGAAATATGAACAGCACGTGAATATCCACAAAAGAAGCCTTATAGATAGCCTAAAACAACTTTTCAGCAAATCTTCAAACCAATTGTTTTTTCTGTCTAAACAAAAGTCTAGTTATCTACTCGACCCAATACAATTTACAAGATGGATGATAAACAGAAACCTCTACATCAAAGAAAGCCTTTTAGATAGTTAACTAGCTAAGGAATAGAAATTTTCAGCAAATCAGCAACAAACCAATTGTTTGTTATTTTTTTGTCAAAGTAAAGGTCACGACAAAGTAAGCCCAAAAACAGATATTACATTTCACTTAGTAAACCAGGTTGAATGAGTGATTCAAGTCGGCAGAGGTCAAAGGACAGCATGCAATATCTTCAGGCTCTTGAACAAAATATGACATCCTCCTGATAATTGGCACTTGAATGCACTTCTTAGACTTGTTGAAAGGTTACTACCAGAATATATAAATCACAACACTGCGTAATTCTCTCCCAGTGGACAGCCCAAAACAGTTTAACAGAATTATACCAGCAAAACATATGACCAAACACACGATACATCTCAACTTTGTGCCAAGATTGAACATATATACATGCATTAAAGTAAGAAAATGATAAATAGCTCCACAGTGGGCTTTTATTAAAGTATCAACCATAGGCAGCAGGTAATATCAATATCAACCTATTCGCAAAACACAAAGAAAGACATAACATACCACGATCAACAATTCACAATATGCAGTGGCGACAATAGTAAAATGACATCAACATAGACAATCCTTAACAAGAAATCAAATTTGTCCTTCGTTAGGCATATCAAATTCACACAATACTTATATGTAGTAATCGAAAGTTGGAACTCATCGAATCAAACCACCTCCTTGGTCGGGATCGCAGGCTTCTTGAGGTCGTCGTCAACAACCTTGGTGGGCAGCGCCAGATAGCCCAGCTTCCTCTTGGCAGCGGCCACATCATCATCGTCATCGTCATCATCATCCGAGGAAGAAGAGGCATCGCCAAAGTCAAAGCGAGTCGGGGTGAAGAGCGCCCACACAAAGTACATAACGGCCGCAGTGAGGGCCCCACAGCCGACACCAAAGAGCAGGGCGCCAACCACGCTCATGATATCCTTGGTCCGCTCTCGAATCGAGCTGGAGACGGACGAATAGAACTTGGTGGGAAAATCGGATGACGTCATGGCCGAGGATGACCGAGGGTTGTCATCGAACGAGGCGGCGGCGTCGGCGGATTCGAAATTGATGAAGGGACGCCGATCGGAGAAGGGTTTGGCGACGGAGGAGGTGAAGATAAGGGTGAAATAGCGGGGCCTCTGGCCGCCGACGAGTGAATTGGAGTTAGGGTTACCGGGGAGGGAGTTGTAGGGATAATAGGTGGTGGTGGTGGTGGTCGCGCTGAAATAGAAGAGGGTTTTGCAGGGCCGGGCGGAGGCGGAGGCGGCGAGAAGAGAGAGGAGAAGGAGTAGGGGCAGAGGGTAAGTCGCCATATTCACGCTGCTGTTTCGAGAGAGAGAGAGGAGAGAGAGAGAGAGAGAGTTTAGGAAGCCAAGAAGAGGGGAAAAAGGGGACAAATCCGTTGATTTATGTTGGATAGTTTGGTTGAAAAACGAATTTACTGATCCAATTAAATTTGGTGAACAACTTTAACCGGCTGGTCCGTTGACACGGGCCTTGAACCGGACCGTAGTTTTACCTTTGCCGATGGTTTTGAATAGGAACCGGCGATTCTCTTTATTTATTTTATTTATTTTTTAATAATCGGGTCGGCCCAAAATCTACAATGGATAAAAACCGCTGTTTTACTGAACTAATTTGTATATATGATCGAGCTGGTTCAGGGCCTCTAAAACCGCGGCCCATAGTGGCTAGTGGCTACATTATTTTTTTCCCCAGAGATTTCATCCTTTTTTTTTTATTTGCCAATCTATATATATATAATTGTTGGCTAATGAGTATTTAATAAAACCTATTAAACTATACCTATGTGGCAAAATTTCATTTTCCCTCCAAAAATCGTTACTTTTTATTTATTTAACCTCTCATTTAATTATTAAATAATCAACACACTAATCACTTCAAAATACAAAAATTATTTTAAACTTTTGATTTACTTACAATTGACCATATAATGTGTTGATTATTTAACGTGTTTAGATGTTATTGTTGTGGTTACGATTAAATGAACTTCTTTTGAAAATAAAAAATGTATTTGAACTTCCTAAATAAATAATAAATAATTCACAAAAAAATACATACCAAAATATACATTACATCAAATATGATTAATGCAATTTAAAAAAAATAAATATTCCAACTCTTTTAAATGTAAAATTGGCCTGGGAAAAGTGCAAGAAAAATTATTAATCATTATATGCATACAAATAACTCATAATATTTTATTTATATCTGTGCAAATACACAAGTCAAATACTAGTTATCTATTAAATAAGGTGCAATAAATTGATTTTTACATTAATAAAACTAATATTTATTTAATATTTTATTATTTTCTGAAATAGGTGACTTAAAAGAAGAGAAGGTTTCTCCATATTATATTTCATAATGTACACATTGTCCTCATATGTTTTTTAAATTAATTATCATCCTTAAATTTTAATAAATGAATGATATTAGAGAATAAAAGAGCAAAGAATTAATTAGGAGTTTTTATACATATTTTTTTTCAAGTATTAATACTTTTTATTATGTTTTATTATTTTATATAACTCGTGCCATGCATGAGTTGTTATTATGTTTCAGTATTAATTGTATTTCTTTTACTTGTAGGAAATGAAAGAATGAAAATAATGAGTTCTTATTATGTTTTAGTATTAATGGTCTTTCTTTTATTTGTAGGAAAATGAAGGAACGAAAATAAGAATCGCTCTTATAAATGATTCTCAAATGTGCTGAGCCTAAGTGTCAGAAAAGTATGTTTCTTTTTAAATAAATTTGTGCTTCATACTCACATATGTTCAGCTTTGGTTTGACATAAATTTGTGTCTCGTATTGACATGTTCAGGATTGGTTTTGACTATTAGACTTGGGAATCATCATAAACTATTTTAGCTTTTACTTATTTTTTTCTTAAGTTACCATATACTACTCGTATATTTTATTTTATTTATTTATATTTTTTAAACTTTATAAAATTTTTATCTGTATTTTATTTTTTATATATGATACATCAAATCATATTTTAACGATCTTCCATTTGACATCCATATTGAATATACAATAAAAAAATAATTTCATCTATGTTTATAAAGAAAACTAATTTTGTTATCAAATCAATTTAAAAACAACAACTAACAATATAAATTATTTTATAATAAAAATAAAATTAACACATTAATATACCATAAAATAATTATTTTTATATGTATTTCCCACATATTTTGGATACAATATAAAATATAATTATTACTTAAAAAAATGTTAAGAAATATAAAAAAAAATTATTTCTCGATTTTAATAGATTATATAAAAAGAAATGTTATTATGTTGTTAAAAATAGTAAATATAAGAAAATATCATAATTAAATATAATAAAATAATTTTAAATTTAATAAAGTTAGAAAATAATACATTACAATGTAAATTAATAGTATAAGCTCTTAATAAAATACTTGAAAAATTAAAAGACTAAGACATTGTCCCTATAAATATGAAATATAATCACAATACAATAAAACTTATTTATTTTTAAAATCGAATAAAATATATGGATTAGTAAATAATACCGGCTTTATACATATAAAATTTTAAAAATATAATTAAAAAAATATCTTTTTTGAAAAATTTTGGTCAAAAAATACAGGCACTGTTTGAATTAATTATCACTTCGTTAGTTATTTGTTAATGTCATTTATTCACATTATACATAATATCTAATTTGGCATGATTTTACTTGAAGAATTTCTAAAGGTTACAATCATGCTCTTAGTCCACATAATGGTAAATTAAAAACACAATTAAAAATGTTATGCTGAGGTTGAACCTAACATTTCATTGTTGTTTCTGTATCTCTGTTCCACTGGCTGAAATGGAATGGAATATGTAGATAGTCATTTCTTTTTGTCTCTCTTTGCTTTTGACATTGTGGGTTTTATTCTTTTAAGGTCAGTGTTTCAAGTTCTAACTCATAGTCAAACCACCATTATCCTTTAATAATGATCATTATTATCATTAAACACAGATCCTAGAGGCTAATAAGTGAACTTTGATTGTGATGACCATTGCTGTAAAAATGAAACAGGACTTGATCACCTACTGGACTGGGGCCATATCATTTTATTTTTACTGATTTTTTCGGAACCCGTGTATCTTAAGATTAGTCGAAATTACCCCTCAGAAATCTTTCATTAATATATTGATTGTGCACACGTGAACTTATACGACTACTGATCCTACCAACTATTTCTCTGGCCTCGTCCCATGGACTTTACACACTCGAATCCCTCGAGCAAACCTAGTACTTAATCATTAAGTACTAAAACAAAGTTTCTCAAGAAAGTATAAAAAACTAAAGAAAACAACTTTTGTTCTTCGATAGTGTAAGAGCACCGAAGACCTAAACTGTAAAACAAAAACTAAGAATAAGAGCTTGAACACTCAATTGAATGTTGAAATAAACGTAAATGATGATAATTTTAGCAGCCTTCAATTGATATTCATGATGGGTATATACAGACTCCGTGAACGTGAATTTTGGATTCTCCAATTTCATATAGTTGAATAATATTGCAAAACAAATCAAATGAACATTTTTAATATTGGAAAGCTTTTTCACTAGCAAACCCTGCATACACAAGGCATATGTTGTATAGGCTTAATGCCTTCATCCATTCATTTTGATATGTATATATAAGCTTATTTTTTTTATTTAACAGATGCACAATAAATTTCTAAATCTACAGTCTTTGTGCTTAAATGGAACTTCATAAAAAAATTTCAATAAGAGTCACCTAACACACCGTGATTTTACTGGTAACCCAATGAGGGTCGTCGGTTTTTAGATACGGTGTCTACAAGTTCATATACGTTGCTGACACACCGTGATTATTGGTAATGTGGTGCCAAGAAAATCATTTAGGAACCCATCAATTCTTGTCGTTCTAACGGCACTATTAAACTGGCCTCTCATCCAATACCATAACTTTAAAAGCATCACCTCTTCTCAAACACTACTGATTCATTTGAGACAAAGTCATGCATGATATAGGTAAAGAGCTGCAACAACAACTGAACTGCAATAATTGTCCATAAATTTGTGTAATGAGGCCTATTCACATAAGAATACACCATATTCTATAACAACTTAGCTCATAAAATTGTCTATAAAGTTTTAGTACAACCTACTCACAAAGGAATACACCATATTCTATAACAACTAATCTCAAAAGTAGTCATAAGTCTTTAGTACAACCTACTCACACCCACATCGACTAGTGTAAAAGTAGTCATAAAGTTTTAGTACAATATATCTACTCACACCCACATCCCACATCGACTAGTGTAAGTAATCCGTGTACAGATTTTCAAACACACACATGGAGACATTAGTCAAAGCGCCAACATACACCATCCCTACATGTTCCATGTGAGATTTGCTCCAATAAAGCAACATTGCAGTTAGTCTGAAAATAACACTTTGTAATATCTAGTTGCGAAGTATCTTAGAAAAACATTATACATGAACCAATACCCATGCAAGTAAGCAATCAATAATACCATCTGTAACCAACCACTACTAGAATATATATATATATAGAATAAAGCAACATTGCAGTTAGTCCC